AGCTGAGCTTGCACTAACACAGGCATTTAGGAGGCTGGATTTCTATAGTTAAGTTAAAATAACCGTCTATTAGCCTTGCAAGATTCCTAAGAATAGCTTTATTTTGCTTGAGTTCAAGCAAATCATTCTATTGTGAACAAGCTTGGCCCAGATTTGTGTCTCCTGCCTCAAACCTTGCGTAGCACTGCCCAGAGGAGGGGCCAAGCAGGGTACATAGTCACCTTTGCCCTCCTTCTGAAAGCTGCCCAGATGTCTTCAGTCCGTAGGGTAGCTAAGAAAGGGAACAGCCATTTCCTTTCCACCTTCAGGATCCAGGAGACCGATAGGAGAGAATGGTAAGTCTCTTTCCAGCCCTTGAGTCCTCCTGGACTGTCTCTTCTGACTTTTTCTGAGCCACCTCTTCTCATCCTCAAAATTCTATTTTTTATTTTATTTTTTTGAATATGTCTTTTGCAGCTATTCTACAGCCTATCCTGGTCTTTTTTTTTTTTTTTTTTCATTCCTTAAAATTTTTAATTAAGTTAAAGGCGAATTGGCTTTGTTGAAAGGCGACTTGCTCACTTGCCCCAGCTCCCAGGCTTCCTGGCATTCTTGCGCTCCTCCCCTCCTTTGCTTACTTTCCCCCTCCTGTCCGAGCCTGTGTGCCCTTTGCTGCGTCTGTCTATCTTTTCCTTTGACTGTTTTGTTTTAGGGTTGTAGACTGTCTGTCTTTTTTCCTCATTCTCCCTAAATGCTTAGAGTAAAACCTGAGAATTATGCTGAACGTTGAAAAAGATTATGCTAAAAATACAGCTGACTGGTGGCCCAAGCCTGTAGCCCCAGCTGCTTGGGAGTCTGAGGCTGAAGGATCTGTTGAGCACCAGGGTCCAAGAGACCACCGGGGCAATAAACTGACACCCCTGAGACCAAAAAACAAAAGGGAAAGGGCTAAAGCTGTAGCTCAGTGGTAGACTGTGTTCAGCATCCGCCGAGATGCTGGACCCAGTCCCCGGCATCAAAAGAGCAATTAATAGTAGAAAAAATAATTTTTAAGATTTGGAGACCTAAGAAGTGCGTAGAATGGAAATCAAATGAGCTAGGCAGTGGCCGTACAAATGCTAACTTTTTTACCATCCTATTTGGGTCAGTTATGTAGCATAAATAGAACAGTGATTTTCAACTCATTACCTTCATGATTTTTATGAATTCTGAACATACAAACAATAGCAACAAAACCCACAGCCGACCAAGAGCCACTTAGAGGCTCGGTCACAGTTACTGTGGTTGAACAGTCAACTTTGTGGTCCCTGGCAGTTTCAGGGCCTTCACTGTCCCCAAATTGAGCCACTGGTGCTTCTTCCTGACGCCAGTGGGAAGGCACTGGAGTGTGAACATAGAGCCCCGAAGGGGCCGGTCGGGCCCGCAGTGAGTTGCTCACCCTGTCCGAGTCCTGCAGGTGTCCAGACCTCTCGGATTCTCTAGCGTTGGAAGTGGCCGAGGTTCGATGTCTGCGGCTGGTGCTGTGAGGAGCGCAGACGGCAGGCGGCTCTGCTGTGGGCAGGGGTCCCAGGGTCCAGGCAGACCGAGCCTGCTGTGGCCTCGCATAAAGAACCCTTGGAGAAGTGAGGGTGGGCTCTCTGATGTAGCTCATAGGCAACTTGAGAAGTGCTTTACTAATTATATGTCAGCTAGAGTTAGTCTCTCTCAGCTAGCCTCCTGATTAGAAATCAACTGAGTGTTCCTTATGCTCAAGTTCCCCGTTCCTTGGTGCTTTCACCGCTTACCTCTGTGCTCCAGTGCAGTTGTAGCTTACCAGGAGAAGCTTGAAAAACCAGCAAGTGACAGCTGTGGCGAAGTGACTTGTTACCCATTGTTGCAGGAGACCAGTAGGAGAACTAGAGTCTGGAGAGTAAACTCAGAAGACGTACCTAAGCGTCACACACGGTAGGATGATGCAGACTGAAGTCATCAGGGTCTAGAGTGGCTAGGTCCACTGTGCACTCGAGGTTTAGGCTGACACCACTGTCTCCTTCTTCTGTAAAATAATAATGGGATAGTGTTTCTCTTCTCTGGTGAAACTAGGGTGAAAGAAAGCAGTAGTTCCTGTCACAGTGCTGAGAGCAGCAGGGGAAATGGAGCCAGAGATGTCTTGAGCCCATTCCTGATGTGTGTCCTTCTCATTGTGTGGCTGAGGGCAAGCCTTCTAACTCTCCCTGGGCCTTGATTTCCTTATTTGTAAGATGAGGTGTTTATTTCCTTCAGTTCTTACAAAGTTTGGGTGCCATGCTGTTAGTAAGTTTGCAGCTGTTATTAAGGACAGGGGCACTGAACAACGAGAGCTGCTGCTGCTGTGTATTCATGGGTGAGATAAATTTCATTACATTTGCAAGACAGACATCAAAAATTAAGAGAATTAACATTTCCTGCAACTTGTTCTAGCTGCTGGAGTTGGTGAGCTGAGAGCTCTGAGCTTCATTTTGCTCTTAGAGGGCCCGAGCCGAGCTCTGCGGTAGGTCGTCAGGCCCTGAGAGTCTGTCCCTGGGCCCTGCCCTGGTTAGGCATGGGTCATTGGTACTTCTTTTTCTGCCTACACAAGATTAAAAAATGGCTTCCAGAGCGTCCATTCACACAGCCCCGCTGTGGTCTCTTCTCTGGCTTTTGCACTCCTTCTGATTTTCAAAGCATGTAAACTGTGAAACTCTAGTAGGGCTGTTTTTCCATTTCTAAAAACTGTTTTTCATTGTCTTCTAATGACTCTTCTAAAATTCCCCAGTAGAAAACTCTAAGGAGTATTTTTTTAAAATTTTATGTATTTATTTGTGGGGTGTGTGTGTGTGTGTGTGTGTGTGGCCAGCTCAGCCCACCAGGGGGCGGGGCTGGCTGGCATGTGGTGCTGGGGGATTGACCCGTGGTCCCTGTGCTTTGCTAAGCTTGTTCTAAGTAGGTGCTTGAGACCCCTGAACCATCTCACCAGCCCCTCTAAGGAGTATTTAAGTTTAGAATTTATATATTTTTAAAATTCTTATCCTTGATAGCTTTTTGCTTCATGAACCAACTAACTGTTATGAATTAAGCTTCACCTGCGACACACATCCTGATGGGCTAATTTTTCCTTGATTCAGAGAGGTACAAGGTTTTAAGCTAAAATACTACACTGGATTTAAAACAGTAATGTATTGATTTTGAACTAAGCTCACTTTTCATTTGGAATAATCACCATTTTTTTCTAATCAAACATCTGCAATCAAAGTTAATTTTTAGTTTTTTAAAAAAAAATCATGGCATTTTATAAATGTAATAATCAGTAGTGTTGTTTAAAAACAACAGCCACAATAGTAACAAAAACCAGCAACACAAAATTCTATAGAATGGTCTTTACAAAAATGCATTTCTGGATCCCATTTTATCTTTCCCGGGCACTATTTCCATAAATTAATGTGAATAAACTTGCACATTTAATTTATAATTGTGAAAAGGCTTAACTGTGTTGGTAAAGAATCCCAAGCCCTGCCCAGCATTGATTTTATCTTATTCTTATCCTTAAAGCTAAAAGGAAGGATCAGAAGGAGGAGGGCGGTACGGAGGTGCCTTGGCACCTAAAGCCCGACCATCGCTGTGGCTGACCCAGCGTGCACTGCGTGTGCATTGCCTGATCGTGAAAGGGGAGCAAGAGAGGCCGTCTCTGAGCCCCACTTTACTTATCATAGTAGCAAATTAGCTTTATGTTTCATAAAACACCCTGGCCTTTTCTGCTCTGAAATTAAACATGATTTGCATAGAAACAAGGAGCTGATTAACGTTTTGTCACTTACATGGCGCAGTAGAGTTTTGGACTTGTCTTTGCTGATTGGGTTCTGTGCTTCACTGAAATTGTTGCAGTTTTTTTTTTTTTTTAATGTATTTAGTACAGGGTCTCACTATACAGATTGGACTCGCAGTAATTTTGTTTTCAGACTCCCAACCACTGGGATTACAGGCATGAAGTATTGGTCTTCATTCCATAAGCTCAGTTTTGGATTTGGAGCAGAAAGAGAGTGTATATTGGGAAAGCCTGGCTCTTTTAGATTTTCCCCAGCATAATGCTGTAGAAGGATTGTCAAGGATCGAGTGACTAAATAGTCTGCCTTTTTAGAGTAGATCCAGTACAGACGTGTTCTTATGACTATTGTCTGATTGTTTTTTAGCTTAAAAAATACAGCCACTTCTGTGAGGGTTTCGGATCTTGTCTCCCTCCAGCCAGGTTTAGAGCCCCCGTGCTGAGCTTGCTTAGGGGTGGGTAATTCTTTACCAGAAAGCCTTGGCATACCACAGAAAGCCCTGCCAGTCTGACTTGCTCCAGAGTCACAACTGGACACTTGCCCCAAGCGGTCTCTTTGCGGAGCAGATAGTGTAACGCATCGCCCACTTGGGAAGCCAGGTTAAGGGGGTATCAAAATGAATTTTAGGCAGATTTTCTCAGTCTCTTCCTATGGCTATAAAATCATTTTATTAGTGCTGCTGAATCTGGAAATATAACCTCTAAAGCAGGTCAAAGCCAAGGAGGGTAGCTAGCAACCGTGACCTCCAAGTCACCCAACACTAGCGGTCCCCAAAAGCCCCAGAATGAGGCCTGTGGGTTCTCTGTGGGGCTCAGCAGGCAGCACCAGCGACTGGGCACGTGCCACCGGGGCCATCTCTGCTCCCACCCCACTCAACAGAGCTAGGGGCTCTGCATCCCAGCCTCGGAGCTGGAGTTGCCCTCGGGGAAGACATTCCATGTTTCACTCCATTTGTTTCCCAGTGAGAAGCAGCAGCCGTCCCCCAAGCACGAGGAATGTCCTGCCTAAACTGCAGGAACTATTGGGTTAGGTGAGCTCCGCAAAGCTTACTAAGCCTCCCCCTCGTGGTCTGCGGTGGTCTACAGCTTCTGGTGTTTGATTCTTCCTTTTTCCACTGGGTTTCCTGGTATGTCTCGATCGGTGCAAGACTGGCAATGGGGAACGTGCACACTTTGCCTAATTATATTCTTCTTTGTTCACTAGATGACGATTCAGATCTGTACTCTCCCCGATACTCCTTTTCTGAAGACAGTAAGTGACTGCGTTTCCTGGATGTGGGGGAGGAAGGCAAGGTGATGGATGAGGGAAGGTTGCTTTTGGCTTTAGTTTTCATTGGTTTTTTAAAAAGTCCTTTGTGGGGCCAGGGAGATGGCTCAGTAGAATAAGCGCTTCCCTGGCATATGCAAGAGCCTGAGTTCAATCTACAGTTCCGCAAAAAAAAAAAAAAGTCCTTTGTATGTATTTTTTTTTCTCCAGCAAAATCTCCTCTTTCTGTGCCTCGCTCAAAAAGTGAGATGAGCTACATCGATGGTGAGAAGGTGGTGAAGAGATCCGCCACACTCCCCCTCCCCGCCCGTTCTTCCTCACTAAAGTCCAGCCCAGAAAGGTGGGTCCTTCTCGGTCTGTGTTCGCCATTGCCAGCTGTGCCTCGGCAGCTTTTTGTCTTTTTTCATTTATGTATTTGGTACAGGGTCTCACTACGCAGCTTGGACTCATGGTGATCCTCCTGTTTTCAACCTCCCCAGCGCTGGGATTACAGGCGTGGGCCACCACACCAGGTCTCAGTGGCCTGCTCAGTGTGCCCCGGGGGCGGGGCCGGCTTGGCATGTGGGACTGGGGGCCGAACCCAGGTCCCTACTCTTGCCTAAGCAGGCGCTTAGTCTGCTGAGCTGTCTCGCCAGTCCCAACCTTGTCAACAGTTACTGACACCCAGGATCCTCTTTCATTGGAAACTTGGAATTTGAGTCTGCTCTGTCACCTATCAGCAGTGATTTCTTCTGTTTGGGTCTCAGTGTCCTTAGAGACTGTAAATTTGGGACAGTAATAGCTGGCTTCTTGTTGGGAATGTTGTACAAGTAAAATTAGAGGCTGCACGTTAACATTCCTAGTATGCCTAGCTCACTGTGTGGGCTTAATTAATGTTAACTGCAATTATCATCATCAATTTTGACCTTTCCACAAGAAAACTCAGCTACAAGACTTGTCATGGGTTTCCCTACTCTCTGCACCTACTAAAGCTGTGTTTACACGTATTCATAGCAAAGATTGTAATCTAAATAAAGCTACATTTCTTAATGCCAATTTACTTACACACCATGTATTATTGAGGCATAATGTGTGAACTTTTTCTAATGATACTATTTATTTCTTAATGCTTATACAGGACAACCCAGTTTTCTTTTATTGCATTATTTTCTCTAAAAATGTCCAATGGAACAACAGGATCGCATTATCTGGACTGATGTCCCATGCATTCTCCACCCCCAGCCAGTATCTACACACAGAGGACTTGGCCAGATGGGACCGTTTCCTTAGGTGTACATCCAGCTTTCCCCTGAGTAGGCTTCCAGAAGGCTCCACGCATACCGCAGTGGCATCTACCTAGAAGTGTGGCAACTAATTCAAATGGAAGGTTGGATGCGCTCGTAAATCACTTACAGGCACATTCATTAGGAACTTAAGGGCATGTTTTATACCAGTTGAGTAACCATGTGTTGCACAAGAATGTGAGCCTGGAAGCCATGGTCCTGCCTTCAAGAAATTTTTAGCGTCACCTCAGAATTGAAATACAGCCAGTGCAAAGTTCAGTAATGTACACGAACAACAGTTTTTGCAGAAAATTTCCAAGCATTCATCTTCTGAAACCCATTTCTGGATGTCAGCTTAAGAATCTGGGTCAGTGCTGGGGAGATAGCTCAGCAGTATAAATGCGTGCCTGGCAGACACGAGGTCCTCAGTTTGATTTCCAATACCAAAAAAAAAAAAAAAAAAAGGAATCTGGGTCAAAGGCTGAGACTGTTGGGTAGCAGGCTGGATATGGAACGGGGAAGAACATGGATGGCTACAGTAATAGCAGTGTTGATTGAATAGGTGCCCAGAGCCTGGCGGTCACCTCAGTGACTTACACGTACTGTGTCATTTTATCTGTAAAGCATCCTCCACTTTTCACATGTGGAAACTGAGGTTGCAGGAGGTAAAGTGCTTCATTAAGCTCGCCTGCCACGCAGGCAGTGCAGCAGGGATCTGAACCCTAGTTGGCCAGCTCAGGACCTGCTGCTGCTTCTCCTCTTCTCTACTTTCTGAGGTGTCGTTTGCGCACAGGATACCTCAATCCTGTGTGAACTGAAGAAGGAAATTTAGTTGGTTGCTTTGGGAAGCACACTAGCACAACTAAGTGGTTCACCCTTGATTTAATTTTCATGCTCTGGATATAAACATCCCTTGATTAGACTACAGCCAACCAGAGTCAGGCCATGGGAGAAGCCGAGGTCGGTTTTTATGTAAATAGCCCTAACAAGATTTTCTTTCTGCAGAAACGACTGGGAGCCCCCAGATAAGAAAGTGGATACCAGGAAATACCGGGCAGAGCCCAAAAGCATTTATGAATATCAGCCGGGCAGGTCTTCCGTCCTGAACAACGAAAAGATGGTAATGTGCATATTAAAGTCCTCTGTTTCCCCTGCCTGTGTTCTTTAATCTGGGTGCGCAGTGCAGTTGGGTTATGGTCTTCCCACCACGAGATAGCCTTGCTTTGTTTAGAAGATGATGAAAAGAAGACGTGTTTTTATTCTTTTCATTTTTGCAGGTGTTCATAAAATAAGTCTTGAGAGCCTGCTTTGAAAGAATTCTCTTATTGTGCCTCTGTTGGTCCTTTCATGCATGGTTTTTAACTAATTTAAATTTTTATACTCACATACAGATTGATTTTGCTGCTGGCTTTTGAAAACAAGAAACTAACCATTATTGTATCAGGCTTATTGTTAACTGGAATGAAGTCAGGATTTTTAAAAAGTGATTCTCACAATTTATCTCACACATAAATTTTGTAGAAGTTACTACAGTGTCAGTAAAAGCTAAATAATTAATAGGATGTCATATCTTGGGGGAAAGCCTAGGCCACTAGGGCGTGTCTTTGGGTCTTCTTTCTTTGGTAGCTGTAAGGTTGAGGACCAATTTCCTATTCATCTAGTTTTTGGTTCCCTAACAAGTTCATATCTCCAATCGATGAATAGTGGGAAAATGGCCTGTGTAGACATAGGTGGGATGGGGATGTAGCTCAGGGGCAAAGGTGCCTGCCTGGCAGGTGCAAGGTCCTGGGTTTGATCCCTGGTACCGCAAAAAAAAAAAAAAAAAAAAAAGGAGGCCACCCTGCAGAAATGGCCTCCTTGCTGAAATGGGAAGACCTTTTACAAATGGATTTCTCCCATATCTGCCAATTATGCTTCCATTTATTTACCTTTCATTAGAAAACCTGGCTCAGAATTCTGAGGATTCTGCAGAGCCCCAGCCGTGACAGCAGGGTGGAACGACTGTGCTGGGAACTGATTTTTATTACATGCCATTTTCACACCGAGCGCAGAATAACCGGGCCTTGGAACTGTGGGTTCAGATTAATTTCCCTCAACCCCTTTTGCTCTGCATGTTTTTACGGAATAATTGATTGAACTTTTGCTAAAATAAAAATGTGACATCTTTAAAAGCACAGAAGGATAAGTAATTTCAAATAGGAGAAAAGGTCAGCAGTTCACAGGTGCTTTTGGAGTTGCTGTTCCAGCAGTTGTGCGCGTTACAGGCTCCTTCCTCGGCTCCCCCTTTGCCTACCAGATAGTTCCTGGTAATGAACATAGAAAGTAGCCTTCCGTCCAGGGGTCCCTGGGAACAAAGTCCTGCTCTCCAGGTGAATTCCTAACAAACACCCAGCCTGGAGCCCACCATCACATGTTCATACATTTAAACGATTTCAGGGACTCTGGGGACTCTGGATGCTTTTTTTTGGCGATACTGCATGACCAGTCATAGTCTGTCAAGGCAGTAGAGTCATAGACTGAAGACCGTCTCTTTATTAGTTCCTTCTTTGTTTCCATTTTTTTCTTAGTAATGAACACATTTAACAAACTGGGAAACAATAGCAGAATTTTGTTTTCTTCATTGGTATTATAATATTCCAAGTACCTTCCATGCCGTAGTTTTTGGTATCGTTGTCCACTGGGGCTCTCTGGGGAGCGGTGGCGACTGTAGGCTTGACAGCAAACCCCGTAAGGGTTTCTACACATGAACTCCTCTCTCGGGCCAGCCAGAGGCCCGTCTGTGACACTGAGTGTCTGTGACTCTGAGCACCAGAGGCTAACCAGGGAGGAGCCCCTCCAACCAATAGTTCAGTTGACAGCTTTTCACTCAATTCAGATCTATTCTTTCAAAGGGAAATTTTTAATTTTAGTGAAGAATTTTAGTTGACTCTCAATCTTTTGAGTCTGCCCTTCACGGTGGATGAATTCATCTTCTACATTTAATGTTTTCCTACTGTTTTTATCACATGAATAAAAACATTGAAATGCGCTTCAGTGGCTGAGCCTTGCCTTTGGCACCCGCGGTCTGGCTTGCCGGAAGCCGCATCTCCGCTCCCTCACACATCTGGGTGTGTGCTAACTCTGGCCAACTACACAGGTTAGTGACAGGTGTAGAACCTAAGTAGCTTTTAGACGTGCATCTTCTTTTGGGAAAACACACTTTTCTTTTCCATTCACAGTGCTCATGTCTACTTTACCCTGTCAACCGAGGTGAGGACTTCAGAAGCACATGTGTGCGTTTCTAGCAGGGTTGATGGTCGGAGCGCTAGACTGTTAGAACGCAGCCTGCCCCCTCAGGCCTCATCACACGAGTGCCGTCAGCATTCCCTGTAGGTTTACAACTTTGATCATCTCGCCATCTGTTATACTCCGCTCATGAGGGTCTACATGTGGCTTGGCCCCTTTTACCGTAGTAAAAATCCATTGTCTCTTCTTCAGCCTTGGGCATCTTTTGGTTGGTGCCTGCTTCATCAGAGATGGCCTTTTTCAAGCTTTGTTTCTTTATATTTTGAAGTCCCTCACTGAACATGATACAAGCTTCGTTCGACAGACATGTATGGAGAGATGACCTTTTGCATGCCAAGCCCTGGGTTAGAAGTTGGGCTCCTTGTTGCGTAGGTGCGTCAGTAATCGCAGGTGTGGTGTATTTGAGAGTGCAGCGTGAGGGACTAACCGTTAGGTTTCTTCCCAGTTCACCATCACTGTCTTCCTTGCTAGCGTTTGATGGGAGTCACCTGCTTTGCCTTGGGGTGATCTGCAAACTCAGTGAGGCCGTGTCCTATCATGGGGATAGGAGGAGTAGAATAGAACACAGGTACAAAATCTGGAACAGGAGTTGGGAGATCTGCCTTCTCTTCCAGTTCTGACTGTCAAACATCTTGGGGCAAGTCTCTTGACTTTTGTGCATGTCAGTGTTTTCATCCATAAATAAACACATTATCTGGCCTGCCAATCACAGTGAAATGACTAAGCGAGACAGCCAGGTGTGATAATGTGGATACAAGGACTGTGGACAAGGTGGGCCTGGTAGCTGAGGCCTGGAATCCCAGCACTCTGAGAGTGTGAGGCAGAAGGACTGCAAGTCTGAGCCCAGCCTGTCCACTTCAGTGACTTGGTGAAAACCTGTCTCAGAAAGGCAGTGGTGGTGGTGGCAGTGGTGGTGGTGGCGGTTGGAGATGTAGCTCAGTATGCAGGCCCAGTGTCCAATGTCCAGTACCATTGGAAAACAAGCAGCCCTAACAACTATTATGAGGTTTTATGCAAATAAACATACAACAGTCAGTTACAATTGCGCCGATTTCTGGCTCCCGTTAAAGCAGCAATCCTTTCCAAGGATTTTACCAAGCTGGGAAAACAGTTGCCTGCAGGAGCAAAGAACGTAGCCTAGAGTCATGGAATTGGCCGGCCATGGGAACAGGGCTCCTTTTCCACAGCCAGAAGGACATTTTCTGCTGCTCTGTGCCCCTTCTGGGCCCCCATCTGAGTTGTATCTGACAGCCCAAATGCAGGTGGTCGTTCCGTGTGGCAGGGCCTTTGGCCTTATTTCTGGGCAGCCTAACGAAGGCAGGCCTTTGGATCCGAAGCTCCAGACTCAAGTCATCTCACGTACTTCCTGATTCCACTCTTGACGCATCATCAGCTTCGTCAATAAATAGTAGCACACAGCATTTGAGAATAAAATGGGTTAATCCCTTCAAGACTGTAAGTCCCAAAACTTTCAGGGAGTTTCCCAAAAAAGTTGGTACATTTTAATTTTTTTTTTAAAGCATAGCTGATTCCCATGAAATAGTTTATAAATACTCTTTATAAAAATAAACATGCAGTAGGTTTCGTGAAACTCCATCATGTTAGGATCTAGAAGGTCCCAGCGCTACACTGTGTTTCTCCAATGGTTGTGTCTTTGTTCTTAGTGTGCCTCATTTCACGGAATAAATACAGAACCTGTTTACCTTCAGGGAGGGTGTCTTCCACTTAAAGATCAAGGCCCTACCTAGGTCCCCATGGACATTTGAAACAGATTTATCAGGTTCAGTAGAACACACCAATGCTTCTGATTTTGTCTTAGTTTAATTTCGGTTAAAAGTTATCTGCAGTGTATCCATACTGTCCTCTGCCTGTAACAGTTAAGTCAGGGCAAAACACAGGTTCTCCTTGGGATCTTGGAGGCTGATAGATGCCATGGAGGTAGGCTGCGGCTTTTTCTACAGGTTGCAAAAGCACTGGGAACGTCAAACAAGCCAGGAGGAGCTGCTTTGTGGTGCAGTCTGCTGAAGGCTCAGCGCCCTCTTCTGCACAGGCCTTCCAGGGTTGGCCAGAAAGTGGAATTTCTTACATGATGCTTTCGATCTTCATGAGAAATAGATGCATTTTACATTTTAGGTTGTTATAGATGATCACATAGCTTTCTTTTTATTATCAAAGATTTTTGGGGCTGGGGAGATAGCTCAGTAGAATAGGTGCTTACCTGGCAAGTGCAAGGTCCTGAGTTCAATCCCCTGTGCCCCCCCCCAAAAAAAAAAAGAAAAAAGATTTTTTGACACATATACATATATGAGCCCTGACCGCTTTCATCTGGTATGAACATAGCTAGCATTTGTGAAGGGGAGAATCTGATTTCATTTCCAGATATTCGCTTCTCAACTAATTATTTCTAAAAAGCTGTTCCCATAGTAAGGTGTCAGAAGTTTGTACATATTTGATTAAATATTAAATAACATGGAAGTGTATGTGTGATAACTCTTAGAGTTCTTTAAAGTGAGAAATATAACTTATTTTTGTAACATAACCCAGCAGTTTTCTTCTCCCCATTCTGTTATGTCTTGTCCAGCTTCTCCGTCCCTTAATTTTTCTCAGTTCTTTAACATTTGTGAGAACACAAAACGCAGCCTGTCTGTGCTCATCCCCTTGGATACTTGTTTAAAGTGCTTTTTCACTTGTGTCTTCTGTTTTTCCTTACATCACCTTTTCCTTTACTGTGTACAAGACGTGGTTTCTCACCTGTCCACGTGCCATTAAAGATGCAGTATTAACCAGTTGGCTTTATAAGGTGTCAGTATCTGTGTTCATTTTGAAAATGTGAAGGTCGCCTTGCACAGAGGTACTAAAGCTATACTAGCCCGTGGAAAACCGTTTGCTCTGCTTAACTGGCATAGACGCTAAGTGTTTGGTGTGCTCACCAGTAACTAAGAGTTCTTTGTAAGAGGAAATAAGGGATTTCTTTTTTCCCACCATACTTGAAGTCACTAAGGAACGCTTTTGGACCCATATTCAGATTTTGGACCCCTGAGCAGCTGCGGTGCGGCACAGAGTCCTCTGTCTCCAGTCCATCTGCCTCTGCTGTAGGACTGAGAACGACTCTCATGCTGTCCCCGTTTCCCTGTTTTACACAGCCGACCATTCCTGTTGCGGCTGATGTCAGTAAGAATGGACAACTGCTGCTGCTGCTGCTGCTGCTGCTGCTGCAGCTGCTGTGTACTCCTGGAAACCGCTGCATCTCTACTGGCCTGTTCCTGTGTAATCTTCTCATAATGTTATCCTTCTCTTTCTTCCATTTCCCTATCACCAACCCCTATAGAGTCGGGATATAAGCCCAGAAGAGATAGATTTAAAGAATGAACCTTGGTATAAATTCTTTTCGGAATTGGAGTTTGGGAAACCGGTAAGTTTAATAGCTTCAGTGGTTATACGCCTTTTTAAGTAATGCTGTTGCTGCATTGTTCCTGCTAAAGAGTCAGATCTATGTGTAAGGAATTCAGGAACCGGGGAGGGGTCGTGATGGTGGCCAAGAGCAGGACTGTCTCTTCTCCCTGCACTCTGTGAGCTTTCCTTCACCAGGAAAAGAGTGAGTTCTGGAAGTACATCTTAGCAGAGTCTCTCAGAGAACACAACTAAGTCATTATGTCTCCTGGGCACCCCTCCCCACACCACTGACAGCAAGTACCTCGGATCTTGTGGATGGCATTAACTTGGGCATTGGTTCACCACCTTGACCAGAGACTTTATGGGATGCTCAAGACAAGGAGGAAAATGCATTTCACACTGAAGAACCAGCATGGTTCCTGCCTCAGAGAGCACATACGTGAGGCAACAGCAGGCCAAAAGGGGCCTCTTTATGCAGACGTAACCCACAAGTGCAGCCCCGCTACAGGCAACTTCCAGGGAACCATTGCTATGAGTTAGGGTAATATTTTTCAAAGTCTGCAATGAAGGTTAGTTCAGGCAAATGCTCTGCAGCTGCCCTGTAATATCGCTGAGTTGGCATTGGGGATAATGGACTCTAACACTGCAAGGACCTTTTTCTTTGACCAAAGGAGCAGCAGATAGGAGAATGGAGCTCATCCTTCCCCCCAAGATGGCCCTGGCATTAAAACTTTACTCAACTTAAAGTCTTTAGTTATTACAACTGCAAGCAGAATTTAAATGGAGACAATAAGTATATGAAAATAAGACATTAGAAACTTGTATGAAATGCTAACTATTGAGCCCAGTGTTTGAATTATTACAGTTGCAGATGATAGTTTCATCTGAAGACAGGAAATAACTTGGTGGCTGAGTGAAAGAAACGTTCGGTTTCGCAGCACCGCGCAACCTGCTTGCAGAAATGAGGGTTTCTCTTCAGATCAGGACAGTCTAGAGGCAGCGCCTGAGCGCTCCTTGATGGAGAGCGCCACCTAGGCGCAGTGAGGAGGAACGCACCCAGTTCGGCCTAAGCGCTCCCCTCCCCCTCTGCTTTGGGGCGCACCTATTTCTTTCGCTTCCCTCCCTTTTTTCTCTGCCGTTCACCATTTAGACGTGAAGGTACCTCAGGCAGACTTTTTCACGTGCAAATATTGAACAGTGACTTTGTTTTCCTTCTCTTTCTCAAAACCCATTGCGTTATAGCACAAAAGCCTTCTGACATACTGTAGCTGTCTCCCACTCCATGGCTTGATTGGTGTATTTAACAACAATAACACATTTTTCTCAAGGAAGGCAAAAGCATCTAGCAACACAGTAAATTCTATTTAAATTAGGTTTAATAAAGAGTCCATGGCATTGATTTTCAAAGCCGTTTTAGAATCCACAAGTTTGTAGCCATCTTGTTTGCCAGATAACTGCATTAATTTTATCTGAAATATTATATTTTAGGAAAAATTCTGAAAAAATTTTCAAACTAACTGTGATTTTTTTTTCCCCCCTAAATCTGTCATCAGAAACAGTTTTTGTTGGGCCAGGGAGACAGCTCAGTAGACTAAGCGCTTGTCTGGCAAACGCAGGGTCCTGAGTTAAATCCCTGGTACCGCAAAAAAAAAAAAAAAAAAAAAAGGAACAGTTTCTGTCAATGATAAACAGTCTTTTGGTCCCATTCCGTGCTAAATAGAGTACGAGAGAGGAGCCTGGTAAATCAACAGTGTTTCTTTAGGAAACGATTGACCACACAGCTGCCTCAAACGTATATTGAGAACACAGTACACTTGCACGCTGAGGCCTTCCTTTTTACCTGTTGCTCTAACTGTCCTTAGTTATTGGAAGACTTCAGTGCTCATTCCTACGACGGCCTTTTCTCTGAAGCCTCCCCAGTTGCCTGCAAAGACTTCGGAGTCTTAGTGAAACAGCCGTCTTTTGTGTAGATCTTGCTTTAAAGGACAGTGAAGACTTGCCCAGATGCCTCATGCAATACACACTTCCGGAGGAATGGCACCGACATGAGTCTTTCCTTACGGTCTGAGGCTGCCTGCGGCGGGGCTTAGTATCTGTTGAAGCAGCAGGTTTGGGGGACTAGTGTGATAGGGAGGCTCTCTTCCCTCTCTTCCTTACCCTAGCCCTGCGGACCATAAAAGTAAGAGACAGGAATAAGAGTATGAACGCTGAAGGTTGCTTTGGGAAAAATTTCAGCCATGCAGAAGCAGGATGAAATTAAAACTCCTACTAAATCATATGGATTATCATCTCTGCTTTTAAAAAAGTTGTTCTTGATACCAGCTCAGGTCCACTTACCCCATGTAAAGCTTGCTAGAAGAACTTCGACACTACACTCTTACACTGCACTCTCTTCTTCTTCAATCTGTTTGCTGCAGTCCACGCAAGATGAAGTCAAGGGGCTGGGAAGATGGCTCAGTAGAATAAGCACTTGCCTGGCAAGTGCAAGGGCCTGAGTTCAATCCCTGGTTCAAAAAAAAAAAAAAAAGTCAAACTTTGAGCAAAACCCTGGCTGTAGTACCTTTTAGCTGAACAACTTGTTGCAGTATAGTAAATAATTCAAGTAATAATTTAATGGCTCCATGAGCCATTTTAGAGATGATTATTTAAAACCCATTGCATTTGTCAACTTTGGTCTTTTTGTTTTACTTTGGGTTCATTTTTTCAATAAAGAAATGGATATGGCAATGAGTGTGACCGTGAAAGGTCTGTTTCTCGGACGAAGTGTTAGAGATGAAGGACACTTGCTGCCGCTGTTGGCCTGTCCAGCGTGGCACAATCGTGCACAGGCGGGGCAGCGATGCTGACTTTCTGCTGTCCTTGGGGAACACGCTTCGGAACGAGGTTACTTTCATGATGCAGATTTTGTACAGAGAACCCAAGCGTCAGCCTTTTTACCCAGATTGCTACAGAAATTGGCAGGATTTTCAAATACACTGAAGGCAAAATTTCTCAAAACAATCCAGTTGGAATGCTGGCATAGAGTTGGTTACAGTGAAATTCACTTTGAATCTCGGGAGCTTTTAATAATCTCTTCTTTCTCGTCTCCCCGGAGGTAACTTGTGTAAGAAATCTCAAGTGTCGGTAGGCAGAACACAGACTCGGCTCTGGGCCAGCGGAGCTCCAGGGAGAAGTGTTGTGACCCTTGCCTGTTGTTGGTGCCACATCTCTCCCTGTTAAACCTACACCAGTGTCACCGCAGGTTGCCATCGTGCAAGTGTAGCTCTGATTCTAACACAAAGGGTTAAATGAGAAAACACAGTCGACTGTTTAAATTCTGTTCTCCAAGGGGGATGGGAAGTGTGTCTTTATAGCTAACAATGTTATTAAAATCTAGTTGAAGTATAAAAACTGTGAAATTGTCTAATGCATTAATGCCCCTTTTAGGCGTGATTTTCTGACTACAATCCAAAACACGTTCAGTGGAGTTCACCCTGTATTGGCCAGACCTCTGGGTTAACATAAAGTGAATTTCTTTGTCATGGGGAAGACTGAAAAATACAGAATTCCCAGTGTCAGTCCTAGGTTGAAAATCACAGTGAGGAATTTGAAAGTTTCTTTCTTTTGTTCAAATCACGAAGACACCCCTCCCCCTTAAGCAGCTATCTGCCCTATTTAGAATCCAGCAGCGACGCGGACGCGCTGGAGACGTCTCCTAGCCAGCAGGGCCGAGGCGCCCTGGGGCCGGCAGCCCTGTGGCCTCGGAGCCCGCAGCCCTGCGCCCGCCGTTGCCCGTCCGTGTGGGCGCGGCTCTCCCGTGTGCCCCCTCTGTTTGCGCCAGCCTCCGTGTTTGTCTTTATGTCTTTATGCTCATTTCTTCATTTCCTCCTCTGCTTCCCGTCAGCCTCCCAAAAAGATATGGGATTATACTCCAGGAGACTGCTCTATCCTTCCTAGAGAGGATAGAAAGGTAATTCCGCCGTGCCGCCCGTGGACTGTGTGCGTGCTCAGCTTGGGTAGTGTGAGTGTGTTTGTTTGCTTTTTTTCCTTGAGTCATTTCTTTTCCTTTAAGTTTGGTAACTTTTATTTTTGGCTTGATGATAAAACTAACAAAGTCTCTAAGACATATACTAATACCTAGAGGTTTTTAAAATACTTATTTTTTCTGACATATATTCTCTGTCACCATCACCGTATTCTGAAGGGGAGAAAATAGGCCTTTGCGTCAAGGTAGGTTTTTGTGGGATCTGTAGGTTCTCGAGTAGATTTCCGCGGCTGTGGTTCTTCAGGATTTCTATGCACATGCCTAACGCTGTATTCTGCTCTCACGTTTAACTAATTTCTGGTAAGCCCCCGTGATTGAGTTGTACCATCTGGGCCTTGCTAAAGTGTAGCACTTAAAGAACTCATTGTCAAACTTAACCTTCCATTCTTTCTCCCTTTCCTCTAAACTAAAACACTCTTTCTCATCTTTTCTTTCTTGAACCAGACTAATCTAGAAAAAGATCTCAACCTCTGCCACACAGAGTTAGAGGCAGATTTAGAAAACATGGAGACGGTTAATAAAGCACCCAGTCCAAACTCGCCACAGGTATTTCCCAGTTTTTCTCATGCCCTTAGTTTCTTTTCATGCCTTTTTTTTTTTTTTCCTCTTCTCTCTGCTATGATTTCTGGTAGAATTGAGGTGAGAGCCGGGAATGCTGGTTATTTTGAACTGCATGGCTTTTTTGACTTCCGTTTTAGCGCCCACCCACTTCCTGCCCCCATCCTCATCTCCACCCTGAGTTAATTTTTGTTTGCATTATTTTTGAACTTTATATCTTCCCTATTGGGGATTTCCCCAAATGTATGTCGAGTAGCTGGTCATTTAAACTACCCCCCCCATGGCCTCCCCTTCCTTTGTTTCTGTGGGGGACCCTTTCAAGTTCCTTTCCTTTGCCTCTGTGTACCTTTTCTGAATTTTGAAGAAGCTTCTCTTTTTTGGCAATTCCCTTGTCTTTTTTGGTATCCCTGGAGATACCTACCTTAAGAGTCATTTTCAAAAACAGCAGCAAACTAGATCCAACAGCGGTGCACATCCATAACTTGAGTGGCTTGGGAGGCTAAAGGAAGGATGGCAAGTTCTGGAACAGCCAGGACAACTTACTGAGACCCTATCTCAAAGTACAGAGGGGCCAGTGCTAGAGTTCAGTGACAGAGTGCCTGCCCAGCATGTGCGAGGCCTACACTGAGTTCTCAGTACTGACATAAGATCAAAACAAAGCAAAACCCAGAAGCACAGTCAGTCATAGCCACTGGGCGCCCCTCCTGTGCAGAGCTGTTAGTGTGGCAGCAGAGCGGCACTTTGGTTCACCACCTTAATTCTTTCGGTGATTCTGGTTGCAGAATTTATGCCATGATTCTGGTTGCAACTCTATGGCCAGAGAAGCACGGGATGAATTCTGTGCCAGAATTGTGGAAAGAATTAAGCTCAAGAGCAGAGGTGCCACTGTGCTTATAGTTTTAAAAGTTACAAAAAGGAAGAAAGAAAGAAAAGAAAAGAAAAGAAAAGAAAAGAAAAGAAATGCACCCCAGAAGTCAACTGGACACAAGCAAATGTTTGAGACTGATATTGTTAGGGCGAGTTATGTTAAAATGCAGTTTATTAAAAGTCAGTCCAAGGTAATGGGTGAAACCCTACCCAGGGCTTCTGACGACATTAGAGATTCTCCTAAGGGAAGGATATCTTTAGAGAAAATCAAAAAAGGAATGTGAATGCTGCTCAAGGAACCAAGAAGATCCGCAAACTGTGGCAGATGTAAGTGGAAATGGTTAGTGAATGTGTGTTGTACATAGGCTGAGCTAAGTGTTAGGCCACTAGCATAAGGAATTTGCATACCAAGAGTCATGTGAGTGCCAGAATTGTAAGCCAGGTAAAGGATGGCAAAACCATCCTTTATTATGGAAATTAATGGTGTTAGCCCATTAGAGCTTTGATGAAAAGGCTGCAGGCTAGTTGTGACACTCAGGACTTAGGGATCCAGAGAGTCTCCCGAGGATAAGAGAGCCCTTTATCCCGAGGGGCCACCGCCTGACCCTAGGCTGTTCCTCAGACCCTGGGCCCTCCCTCCGAAGAACCCGGAGTCACTGTCTGCAGCTGAGGCAGAGGGGGACCAGGGCGTGAGGGGAAGGTCACGAGGGGAGCTTGCTTCCCACCCAGGGTAGAGACTGGACCATGGTCAGGGTCAGGGTTCCAGGTGAGAGCTGTGGCACAGGAACGTCCTCAAGTGATCTGGCCAGGAATGAGGAGTGCAAGGCAGCTTGGCAGGGTGAACCAGGGGGACTTTTCCAAGTTGCCCAGTGTCAGGGAGTGTTTGTGACTCACACCAAGATAGCAGACAGCTAGAGAGCCACTGAATTAACTGCTTCCTCTGTGGCAGAGGCTGCTTCAGGGCCCCTGACCCTGCCGGGTCCCAGTGGGCCCAGGAAAGCATCGGTCGCACCTGCGAGTCGTCTTCAGGTTCCTTGCGTGGTGCTCATTGTCCCTGAGTGTGTGCGAGGGGCCGGCAGAGCCCTTACGCTGCCAGCACAGAGAGTCGCAGATCTCCAGCCTTGGACACAGCAGTGTGCTAAGAGCCTGGAGAGAGGTAAATCTTATGAGAAACCAAAGTTAGCGAAGATGGTAAACGGCAGGTGGGACTTGAGTGCCTGGCTGGAATGTGGAGTGTTCATCTCAGGCCCGTGGAAAGCGTTCGAAGGAGCCCAGAAGCACGCGTGTTGAAGGAGTGAGTTCTGCGGGAATACGGAGTGCTGAGTGGGAGTTGGTGGGAGGCGGCGTCGGGGAAGGTAGTCGGCCCGCGTTGTGGAGGCCTAGGTCATATGGCTAAGGAGACCATGGGCTCTACCTCAGACCAGTGTTGTAATGCAGGAGATGTTACCGGCAGAATTGTGTCGTTGCTATAGAGAAGGTTGAAATGAAGGGTGAAGAAAGCTGGAGTCTCCGAGGGCAAAGAGCCTGGTAGGCTGGCTGTCCAGACGAGTCGTGGTGAGGCCGACAGTGGCAGCACCAACGTGCGGGAAGGGAACTGTAGCTGTAAGAGAGATCACTGAGAACATTGCAGTAAGACATTTCCACTGCTTGGTGTGAAGAACAAGGAATTGGAGAAGGGCTCAGCAGGTGAGTTCAGAGCTTAGGCCAGACAGTGGCAATGGGGAGGACATCGGTGGTTACACAAAGCCAAGAAGATCAGTCCAGTATTGAGAAGAGAGAGTTGTTTGAGGTATTTGACTTATGAAGTGTTGGTTGGGCATCACGCAAGGAAAACCTAGAAGAAGTTTGGAGCTCACTAAGTCTCAAGAAAGAGGCAAGGACTTCACAAGCCAGCTGGAGTCACCCGGAAAGAGGTCGTTGTTGCTATTGTAGGAATGGGTGAAGCCACTCACCCTGGGAGTAGCTGAAAGGTTGACTGAGAGAGGAAATCATATTAAGAAAGAAGAGGGGGGATCATCAGTTACCCCTTGTGATGTTGGTGATGCAGAGCAGGAGGGTCACCAGAAGGACAGTTCAGAGGAGTCGGGGGAGACAAGCGATAGAGCAGAAGGGGTGAGACCTACCAGATGCGCTGCAGAGAGCCAGAAAAAGAACAGCTCCCAGGAAGAGTTTATAGCTTTGATAACTAAGAAGTTTTCAAGACCTGTTGAGGTTGCAGGGTTGGTAGTTGGAAATTAGAGTACAGGGAATGCCGCAGACATACAGGACGATTGAAAGGATGCACGATTGTGGCAGGAAGATGCGGGGGAAGGCATTCCCAGAGAGCTTCACAGGGTCGTGCGGAAGCTTTGCCAAGGTGGAGAGCAAGGCAAGCTCTTCCGAGGTAGAAGGCCAGGAGGGGACAAGAGCTGAGAGGTACCAGACAGAGCAGGAGAGGGGCCAGCAGGAGAGGCCGGGCATGCCAGGCATGGGGGCTGGAGGCGGGATTTGGAGGGAAGAGCACGTGCCGTCGCTGAGAAGATCGGGGTTGGGTGAGGCAGAGTCGTCCTGAGGACAGAGATGCTTCCCAGAGTGAAAAGCCCCAAACCCACAAGTCAAAGGTGGGTGTTTTAGCAGGCAGAAGGCAAGGCTGGGTGACCCCCTTCCTGTCATCTCCGCCCTCTGTCATAATCTTTTTCCTTTTCCCTACTTTCCCTAAACGATTCTTCTCCAGATGGCTGTTTTTCCCTAAGCAGTCACTTTCACAGATAGGGGCGTTATTAGGAGTATCTTTAAAAGCTCATTTTGACATTGATTTGTTCATCACGAATATATCGAACCCTTTACGTTGTTCTCTCTAATACAGCCAAGGAGCTCAAACGCCATCATTGTGTTGCTTTTCCCCGCATGTCGCTCTTGGTGTGCCCCCTTGTGCTGTGGCCCTACAGTTCTGTATAGCTTCCCCACCCTTCCTCCAACAGTCAGTAGTAGGATTTGTGAAGATTGCTCCTCTCCCTATTTCCACCCTTCTTAAGCTGTAGTGTGGCATAAACATGCTATCTAAATACAGTATTGTCTTTTAAAATCCATTTTTGTGCATTCTCTACCTAAATTGTTGTATCGCCCCCTCCGGATGTGGCAGTTGGGGTGCATGAAAGGTTCTTCACTGGGCCCAGCATGGGGTTCTGAGGGCTGGGAGCGCTGGGAAGAGCGCGCATCCGAGTGACCCGCAGGGGCTGTCGCCCAGGGAGCCCGCAGCTGAAGGTCAGTGTGAGCCCCCCCAAATTGGCTGCTTGTGCCGGCAACCCGAAAACCCAGGAAGCCTTCCATCCAGGCCCCGGGTGGGCCCAGGGCCTGCTCTAAATGAGGACGGCAGAGTGGCTTGCTGCTGCTTCTCATGGTTTGAAACTTCTTAGCAAAAGTAAAGCATCTACATTGTTTTTTTTTCTTTTTTAATTTACAGAGCTCAACAGTTAGCCCCACGCCGGACATGTCTTCAGAGCCTCCGGGATAGTAAGTTGCTTCACTTGTTTACGTGCCTGCATATCAGAAATGGGATGAGAGAGATGTTTTGGGGACCCAAGTGTTTCATTTATCTGGTGCAGTTACCATCTGGTGATAAGTGGCAGCCGATAATGACATTTAAATTACTTTCCTTTTGCTCCTGCCTCCTCCAAGTTAATTTTGTGACGATTCCTATTGTCTTTGATAAGTGTTTCCCTCTGTTAATGTCTTTAGAATAGGAGGTGATTTGTCTGTGTTTAGAGTCGGAGTTCTCTTCTGGATTCTTGGGGAGAGAGAGTGTAACTGGAACGGGAGGAACTTGGTATAAAGGTGGAAGGATGCCAGTGGAGTTGGCTTTATGGGGTCCTTGAGGGGAGACGGGTGGTGTGGTCACTTGGACGTGTCCTAACCTGCCCTGCTTGCCAGAGCAGAAGAGTTTCACTTGAGAGGATTTGGGTGGCTGGCATACGGGCATTTCACGGGAAAACAGAAACGGAAATGCTTGAGTCCTTTTAGGTAGTGATCAAAAGCTCTAGCTACATCCATTGTGTTAATTTTTCCACTATAAATATGTGCACTTTGTGATTAATATGCCCAGTAGTTGAAGAATAGACTGAACAGATATAATAAGATAGCAGCTAGAAGGAGAGCTACCTGCCTTAGCGGATAGCTTGTACCTTGGAGAAGCAGGATAGAAGTTCGCTTGTACCTTCTGCAGGGGAGGTGACCAGCAGAAGATAGAAGGGGTGCAACACAGTGCCAGTACCCTGTCCCCGCTGTCCCCTCCATGCTGCTCTCTGAGGTACCCTGTTAAAGAGCGCGCAGTGGAATTGTGTGTTTAGCACTGAGGGCAGCGGCCAGGCGCAGGTCTTCTGGGCACTGCAGGGACACTTTCAGAAACGCACCTCAGGCTCGCAGGTGACCTTAGGCGACCTGCAGATAAGGGGCTTTCCTGCCACGTTCTCCTTGTCCCCAAGGCTGCCTGTTTGTCGTTAGCTTGTCACTGTGCAGCTGGATCACCTCTTCCCCTCGCTGCCTCAGGATGGCCCATGTTACCCATTTCCTCACCCTGTCTCCCCAAGATGTACAAGATGCGAGTGGCCAGCTAAGCGGATTCCTTAGCTCTGCTGGCCTAAGATACTGTGGTGGTTATTGTACTAGAGGTGTACGTGTAGTCCTGTAATAGTTTGGGGGACAACACACACACACACACACACACACACACACACACACACACACACAACGAGTCCAAATGGAAGGGCAAAGGAGCAAATTCATGAGTAGCCTGTAAGCATTGGAAGTATTGAGAAGACAGGTTGGGGGTTCAGCTCAGGGCTGGAGCGCTCGTCTAGCCTGTGGGAGCCCTGGAGGGTCAGTTCATAGTGTCGCACACAGATGTGAAAAGACTTTGGAAGAGAAAGTTGCTCCCACGGGCTGTCTGTGTTAGGAACGGAAGTCTCAAGTAAAAATAATCCCAGTAGTTTGTTGAGCACTTACTGTGTGTTCTAGGCCCTACGTGTAGCATTTTATCCGCCTGATATCGTTGGCCATGATTTTCAGTATTCTTTGTGAAGCGAGGAAATGGGGACCCCGAGGCAGTGTGGCACCCACTGTCCTGCCAGTGGCATGGGAGTGTTCTGTTTCTAATCTGGTGATTAGCAGAAGATGTGGGTTCTCTGGTTTTGAGCTGCTGTGAAACCGTGTAGGCAGCTCTGTGTAATACTGGGCAGGAAGGCGCGAGAGGGACTCGGGCAGAACTCTCAGCAGGGCGCAGCTCTTCAGAGGCTGATCGTGCCGGAGCGTAGCTGACGTCTTACCCACTTTGCTTACGTGTCTCATTGAAGCAGGTCTCTGAAGACTTCTGCCTGTCAGCCATACGCAGCTCTCCTGCAGTGCTTGGCAGGAAACCATTGGTCTTTTCCTTCTGCTCATCTCCTCTTTGGGGCTTTTCTTTAGTAATCAGGCTTGGTGTTCTTCCATGTTACTCAAAGATGTAAGACTTCCCCGCATTTGGGGGTGGTGAGGACACAGCTCGAGGGGGCTGCCTGGCCCGAGGGGCGGGGTGTAGCAAGCGCTTCCGGGTGGATGGCTAGGTCTGTGCTTCTCGGTTGCTGGAGTCCAGCTTCTCGCACCGAGGGGCCCCTCGCACCCCGAGTCTGGCCTCTTCTGTGGGTGGCATATTGAAAGACGTGCTGGCTGCGTTGACTTCACCTGGGGGACGAAGAGAGAGCAGTCACAGGTGGCGCGGGTCCGCGGCTTGTGGCAGGTGGTGAGGTGACACTATTTTAAATCCACTTTCCTATCTTGGACAGATTGAAGTCTGTGAATTAACCAATTAACTAGCATTGAACAGTGAGAAAGAAATTCACTCATAGTTCTAATATCCTAATAAAATGACCCATCATTGCTTCAAAATCTATTTTTGGAGTTACCATCACGGTGTATGTCCAATTCTGTATGTCATCTGCCTACCATTATCAGACATGCAAATTCCTGGGGATTGCTGCTGATCATTTTTGTCGTTGTCTACCGTTTCTGTACTGGCCAGCTGGGATAGGCTCTCTTGCCTAACCAAAAGAGCTTTACTCCCTTTGGCCAGAAGGTGGCACTATAGGACAAGCTGCTCATTCGTGGATGGTACACCAGAGTGCGAAAATTTCTCCCTTTGAACTGGTTTAAGAACAAAACACAAATCATAACTTTAAAAAGTTGTATGAAACATTCAAAGACACTAGGGAGATAGCTCAGTGGCATAAGTGCTGGCCTGGAAAGCACAAGGTCCTGAGTTCAATCGCTCGTACCAGGGGAATAAAAGAAAACATTCGAAATTCTACTGGGAATAATATATCAGAAGTATGTAGGCACTTTTTAGAATAATCTATTCTGCCAATATTTTCTGAACCAGACATATAAAGATTAATAAAATAAACTCCCTGCCTACAAAGTGTTCAGGTGTAATCTGTGAAAAAGATTTGTGAATAACAAGCAGCACCTACTGTGCTTATGTAGTGAAGAGGCCCCAACGGGAGTGAGCACCTCTTATTTGTGGAGGAGGAAAGGTAGGCCTTGTGTAATGGCAAATAAAATCTGAGTAGCAATAACATATTACAAACATTAAAAATAAAGTTTTCTTTCAGTATGAAAGGTTGTAAAATGAAACTTGTCGACGATTGTCTAGACTTGCTCTCCAAAAGCCACAGTTAAGTGTTTTTTCCTCCCTGAAATCTCCAAGTAGGTTTGAACAGTCCATGTGCACTTTGCAAGAGTGGGGCATTTCTGTCGGTTTCGTTACCTCGGAGTGACTGACCTGTAGTAGGTGCCTACGGACTGAGTAGCAGAGCGACAGAATGAGACCTCGTGCGGAAGTGTCCCGGCGGCGATCTGTGCAGCCGAGTCTGGGCGCCGCGCCGCAGCCTGAAGAAGCGGTGGTGCGTGCTCGTGCTGCAGGCTGCCGAGGGGGCAGGAGCCGGGGGAGACAGGGGGCGAGCCGCAGTGTTAATGTGGGCTCTGGCAGGGACAGACGGAAGCAGGCCTTGGTGTCTGATTAGAGTTGGGGAGCAAGGGTGGGAGTAGGACCGATGCCCCGTGGAGTCACCTGGAAGGCAGGCAAGCGTTCCACATAGATAACACGCCAGCGTGGGGATTTCCTGGGCTCTTTTGTCGTGCCCAGTAGTTCTGCAGATGAAGGAAACCGAGGCTGAGAGAAGCAGCCTGCGGGTATGCTTTTCGGTGGCGTAGCTTCCCTTCTGGTGCCTGTTCCTGTTGGAGTCAGGTGGGAGCCGGTTTCCAGGCCGCTGGCCACTGCCTTCGGAGCCCAGCCGTAGGCACAGCTGGAAGGGTGGCCTTGGAACAGTTGCTCTCCTCTCTCACTTTAGTCCTCCAAGGAGACTGTTTTTGTTCCGTTCTCTTGCAACGCAGCAGGCAGTTCTGCCCAGAGACTGAGCTGTCCGTGCTAAGTCCTCCTGGCTTGCTTGGTGGGAGCCCAAACTGGGATCACCCCGGCTGCTCAGAGCCGAGCTGGGTCTGGCTCGCCTTGTTACACCAGCTGCAGCTGCCAGTCCTCCCTGGCCTTTCCCAGTCAGGGGAAGGCCAGGGCCGCCTCTGTCTCCTCAGCAAGGACCTTGGGCGGATCGCGTCACTGGTCCCAAGTTTCCCCCTTTGGACAGTGGAACAAGCAAAATCTCCTTTTTCTGTTGCCCTAAAATGTTACCTATCTGGAAAAAGCATTGTTCTGCCAGCTTTGGTATCGGCAAGAAAATTGGCCTTAGTAACTCCATTCTTGACAGCTTTCCCGAGTGCTGGTCTGCCTTGCTGTGGGAAGCAGGGAGCACAGTGGTGCTGGGTGGAATATGGCCCGAGACAGGGCCGGCTGGGCAATGACGCTGACAGCCTGGGGGTGGAGGGAGGTGTGGGCACAGCCAGGCACGGCTGAGGGTCACGGGAGGCCAAGCACAGATGGGGGTGGGGTAGGCGGGGCTCGTGCTGAGGCCGGGCAGTCCAGGGGCAGCAGGCAGCAGGATGGAAGGTGCTGCCAGTCGTGGTCCAGCAGCGAGGGGACCATACAGACAAGAGGACGCTTGGTGTTGTACCACAGGGCAGAGTCGGGCGGGGAGGGAGGTGGACGGGGAATGGGGTATTTTGAAAGAGAGCAGGTTTATTTTTATTTGGGAAAGTCAAATGTAAAGCAGTTTAGATGAGCTTGCATTTTTAAATATAGACAGCTGGGGCCAAAGCCTTGCAGGCCACCACCCGGGGCCCAGTAGTCTAGCTCTTCTCAGTCACATGTTGGGGTGATCTACCAGCGCCCACCACGGGTGGAAGCTGGCAGCCCAGGGTTGGGTGGGTAGCCGCGTGTGTCACAGGCCTGACCATGGAGCCTGGGAAGACAGATGTCATCACTGGATCAGGCCTTCCCCCAGTTGGGGACAGGGGGACCAGCAAGTGCCACCAGCCCAGGCCTCCAGTCTCCTGGTTCCCTACAGGCCACCTATTCCTCCCACCAGGATGCTGATTCGGGGTTACCCCTGGCTTCGCTCCTAAGTAAGTTCTATACTTAAGGAAGAATCTCTGAATTCCTAATTTCACATAGCAAGACATACTCTTAATCAGCTCATATGAGCCAGTGTCACTTTCAGGAAAAGATCATTTTGTTTATTTTTGTGGCTGGCTCAGCCCTCTCTGGGGGCAGGGCTGGTGGGGCTTGTGGTGCGGGGATCAAACCAGAGGTTGCCTAGGCTTCCCAAGCAGGCACTTTAGACCACTGAGCTATCTTGCCACCCCAGGAAAAGATCTTTTCTTCATTCAACAAGTATATTGAAGATTCCTGAACTGTGTAGTCAAGTGGGCCCCTGCAGATAAGGGTCCCTAGCCTGGGAGAGACTGACCCATCCTGGCTCTCTGAAGTTTCGGGAAAACCCTCGTGTGGGAGGTGGACTTCGGGGGAAGCTGCGCTGTGGACTGGCTTCACTTGTTTGCTTTTGTGTCTTCAACTTTTTAAACTTGTTTTCTTTTCTCTTGGATTCTTAGTAATGTTTTTATGTTGTCTGAGGAAGGGGGAGCAGGGAATTCCCTGATGCCCTTAGGTAGGCAGAGAGATAGAACCTTGGTGCACCATGTGCTTGCCAGGCAGGCGCTTAAATGTTGAGCTCTCTCCTGAGCCAGGAAAAAGCTTTAAGTAGAAAGTAGGCAAAAGTGGTTAAGGGCTTTGGCTTGAGGAGCCGATGAAGGTCAGACCAGCCCCTGAGTAAGCCACTGGCTGAGGGGATCAGGGCTCCCCCAGGTCCTTCCATTTCTCTCTGCTACCTAAAGGGATAGTAAGGACTGCAGTTGGAACAGATGGAAGAGGCCCCTTCCGTTGAAAGGGTCTAGAGCGGCCTCCTCCTGTTGGGAGTTTTGGAGGAGCAGCAGGTGGCTGGGCCAGCTGGTCATGTCTCAGTCCTGCTTTCCTGGTTCTGGAGCCCTTGTGACGGGAAGGGCAGTTCTGTTCCCACGAGCTGCGTGTCTCCGCAGTGCTTTCCGTCATGTGCAGCTCTGCTTCGCCTGGAATCCAAGAGATCACAGTGGTTGCTAGGGCTGGAGGTTTCTGGGGATAATTGGATGCTCACGTAAATGTCTTACCTTGGTGTCCTCGGCGTTGGGGGGATGGCGTGTGAACTCTGGACTAGGCAAACTGACTTCGCCAACTTTTGGACACCCTGTATGATCTGCATATGCTTTTGCAGGGCTGAGAAGGGATGTGACCAAAGATTTATAGTAACAACAGGCACAAAATGAAGGCCAAGCTTTGCCCTGCTCCTGGTTACCTATTGGGCATCTGGAGGCCCAGATGGAGAGTCATGGCTTATAGCAAAATGCCCCTGACTGTCCTGGAGCAGACGTGAATCATGCTTTCAGTGAGCAGCAGGGAAGGGCCCAGGCCACTTCTGTTCCGCAGCCCTGTGGTGGTCTCTGACTACGCCATGACTATGTTGGTGATGGAAGTGGAGCTCTATGGAAGGTTTCTGGCCACCAGCGGGGCAGTGGCTTGCATGCCTCAGGAGCCAGAGGGCGTGCAAGGGTCACCCAGCGTGCAAGAGTCACCTGGCTTGCATTTTCATTAGCGTCTATCTAAAGTGGCTGCTGAGACCCAAAATAGAAGTGAAGAGCAAAATATAAGATAATAGGAAGTAGAGAGATGGATCTTTCCCAAATGGGAAGGGACCAAGACATGGGAGGGGGAGAAGGGGAGGGAAGTGTATACAAAGGGAATGGAGGTATTTTATTTACATGGACCAGCTCTCCATTGGAGACACAAGCATTATGCACTGCAAACATTGACTAATGAAAAACAAAAATTCAAAAATAAAACAAGCATTTTAGTTTTTTAAAAAACTGTGGAACATCTGATGCGTGTGGCAGGTGAGGCCATGGCTGGGATTCCAGCTGTTTCATCTGCTCAGCTGGCCACCGAGGCAGGGTTGCCCGCGCACTCAGTGCTTCTTGTGCTCATCCGAAAAATGTCAGGAGTAAGACTTGTGTGAGAATTCCAGAGAATCATGCTCAGGCCCTTGCAGCCTGCCTCCCACATGGGACATCCTGGCAGGTGGCGCCCAGAGTATTGCCGTCATTATCTTTGACTATGAGGACTTCGAGGACGGAGTTGTGCACAGAAGGAAGGGATAACTTCATGGAATAGAAAAAAATTTCATCACTGAGCGGTAGGAGAGAGAAGGTAGATGTGTGCTGAGACAAGCGCAGCTCGGTGGTTCCCGAAGGGTCCGGGTAAGAGGAGCGTGTCGGCGCCCACTTGTAGCATTCTTTAAGCTTCTCTGCGTGCTGGACACATTTGTGGTAATGCATTCTTAGGAGGAGGATTGGGATGAGGCGAACCCACCAGGCTTTGCTAGAGCTCTTCAGAGATGAGAGATCCGTAGCACTTACCCCAGGGAACTGGATTCAGGAGGATGAAAAGCAACCTAGAAGAAGCCCGTGGATCTGTGAGGAAGAGATCGTCTGCCTCTGTGGGAGGAGGGCGTGCCCGGGTCAGTGGATGTCAGTCAGCTCCCCTTCGGCAGGCGGAGCTGTGGAAATGTGGGGTCTGCAAGGGAGGGCTCGGTGGTGAGTGCTTTTGGGGTTTTCTGTGTTCCGCTTCATTCCCCAAAGAACTTGTGGCACTACCTAGATTACAGCAAGGGAAAATTAAAGGAGAGACACAGTGAGCAACAGTTTATGCACATAATACGTGTTCTGAACAAAACCCTTGAAACATGAGGGCCAAATTTGGCTGTGGTGCTGGGCCCAGTGGCATGTACCTGCAGTCCTGTGTCCTCAGGCAGCTGAGGATCACTTGAATTTAGAAGTTTGAGGCCAGCCAGGACAATGCAGTGAGACCTCGGTGGTGGGGGGCACATAGGTGTGCTCATAGGAACAAGTAAGGGCATATAGAATCCCAGCCTCCAAATTTGTTTGTCTATTTATTTATGTGTTTGGTGCAGGGTCTCACTACACAGCCCAGACTCATAGTGATCCTCCTGTCTCAGCCTCCCCAGCACTGGGATTACAGGTGTGCGCCACCACGCCTGGTCTCGGTGGCTGGCACAGTTCGCCTGGGGTTCCAGGATTGACACAGCATGTGTTACTGGGGATTGAACCTGGGTCCTTGCGCTTGCCAGGCAGGCTCTTAGACCACCCAGCTATCTCCCCAGCCCCCAGGTTCCAGTTTTACTTGGTTGCTGACTTTTCTAGTCATCTCAAATGGCTGGGCCTCTCTCTTCACCATTGATATTAATGTGTCAGCCAAACACTCATACAGAATAATCTAGAAAAATAATCCAAGCGGTGGACTCTAAATCAGGCTGCCCACTTGTGCAGCCCTGGACAGCCAGGCCTCCCCGTACCTTCCATCCACCTTTCTCCCAGCCACTCCCTGCCCACGCTGCCCAGGCAGTGTTTTAGTTACTCTTTTAAAGCCCGAATGCACGCATCTCACTTGTGGTGATGTTTTTTGTCTTAACAGATTTCTGAGCAGTCAGGACCCACTGGCTGGTCTTTGTAGATACCCACATTGAGATCAGGATGCTTCTTGGAAAGGGCAGGGTTTGGTAGGCTGTCAGGAAGGGTGCTCCTTGTCTTCAGCTGGTGATGCGCTTTCTGGACACACGGTATAAATGCTAACCATTGTTATCTTCTCCCACCCCTTTTTCTCCTTCTTTTCAAATTACCTTGTTTGTAGTATATATTCTTCCAACTTCCATGCAGTGAAGAGGGAATCAGATGGGGCGCCTGGGGATCTCACTAGCTTGGAGAACGAGAGGCAGATTTATAAGAGTGTCTTGGAAGGTGGTGACATCCCTCTGCAGGGCCTGAGTGGGCTCAAGCGACCCTCCAGCTCAGCCTCCACGAAAGGTAATGAACAGAGTGAAGTCTGGCAAGCCTGGTCTGTCGCACACCCGTGTCAGCAGCGGGCGGACCTCCGCCCCGGGACAGGCTCTGCCTGGGAGCCCTCTTGTGTCCCCTCCACGGTATTCTCGCCGGCCATTTTTCTTTCTGGTGTTAATGGTTTCCCGTCCTTTGAACCCCGACCTTGCTCTCCCTGAAGCATCTCTCTCCTTTTTGTTCTAATTCCTTCTCTAGAAACTAGCTGAGCTTCAGCCTTTCCTAACCGGCAGGGCGGCCATTTCTTTCGTTGCATCTTTGCACCTGCTTTGCAGCACAGATTATTTTGCTTCCGGACATCAACTGGAAAAAAAATTGAACGCCCTTATGACAAATGAGCATGTTACTTCTCCTTTTTTTAATTTTTATTTATTGGCAGCTTTCAGCTTTAACCTAATGGGTCTGTTTCTTTCATTCTGCATGCTTACCAGTGGATCGTAAAGGTGGGAATGCTCACGTGATTTCATCTTCAGCCCATAGCCGAGCGGGTCACACTAGCAGTGTATTAGGCCCTGGGTGTAAACACAAGAAGCCCCTGTCGGCTGCGAAGGCCTGCATCGCAGAGATCCTTCCTTCCAAATTCAAACCCAGGCTCTCTGCTCCCAGCGCTCTTTTGCAGGAACAGAAGAGTGTCCTGTTGCCCTCAGAGAAGGCTCAGAGCTGTGAGAACCTTTGTGTTTCTGTTTCTTTGAATGATTCCAAACGAAGCCTCCCCCTCCAGGTTGGGGGGGGCATTGAGAACCTGCTAATGCGCTCCCGGCGGGACTACGACAGCAAATCCAGCAGCACCATGAGCCTCCAGGAGTACAGCACCAGCGCCAGGAGGCCCTGCGCCCTTTCCCGGAAGGCCGGGCTGCATTTTTCCATGTTCTACCGGGACATGCACCAGATCAACAGAGCCGGCCTCTCCCTGGGGTCCCTCTCCTCCTCCAGTGTGCGGGATCTTGCCTCCCACTTCGAAAGGAGCAGCCTGGCGCTGGCCAGGGCTGAGCTGGGGCCCAGCCAGGAGGGCTCAGAGCATGTCCCCAAGCACACCGTCTCTTCCCGCATCAGTGCTTTTGAGCAGCTCATTCAGCGGTCCCGATCCATGCCATCCCTGGACCTGTCTGGGAGGCTGAGCAAGTCCCCCACTCCCGTGCTGGCCAGGAGCGGACTGACCTCAGCCCGCTCGGCCGAGTCCCTCCTCGAGTCCACGAAGCTCCGACCCCGGGAGGTGGCTGGGATGAGCCCCGGTGGGGTCTACGCTTCCCCCCCGTGTAGCACCATCGCAGACCACACCCTGGGCTTCAGGGGCCTCGGGCCTGCGGAGCCCCTCTCTGCCTGCTCAGATGAGCTGGACCGCTGTTCCAACGTCTCCAGTGACAGCAGGGAGGGCAGCAGCAGCAGTGTCCACGGAGACTTCCCCAAGCATCGCCTCAACAAGTGCAAGGGGACCTGCCCTGCCTCTTACACCCGCTTCACCACCATCCGGAAGCATGAGCAGCAGCAGTCCTCTGGGCAGCCAGACTGGCACTTGGATTCCAAGGGCGACAAGAGCGCCCTCCTAAGGAACATCTACCTAATGAGCCCCCTCCCTTTTCGGTTGAGAAAGCCCCTCCAGCAGCACCCCAGGCAGCCTTCCCTTGCTGACTCCTCAGGCTTCCAGGTGGGCCAGAAGCCAGATCTCCCCAGTCAGCCCCATCCGGACCAGGCTCCCTCAGCGGTGGGGAGGCCCTCGGTCCCCACCCGCCTGTCTTCCCGACACACCATGGCCAGGCTTAGCTGCAGCGCAGAACCTCCTCTGGAGAGACCTGTGGTCCTGGAGGACTGCTCCCGGGCCCTTACTAACGGGAACTCTGTGCCCTGCTCAGACCACGGCCTGGACAGGAACAACAACCCTCAAAGTGCACGGGCTGCGTCCCGCGGAGGTGGCATTCTGTGTGTCCGACCGTCTCACCTCCCCCGTCTCTCCTTTGCTTGCTTTGTCTCTCCCTGCTGTGTGCCTTCAGTGCTCATTCTCCACTCTGCCTTCTGCTTCTGTTTGTTTTGCTTGGCAATGAACCATGGCTCGTAGTGCCTGCACTTCTTTAAAAACAAAGCCCCATGTCATTCAGACCAACCACCAAACTATGTTTTGAAAGAAAAATTGGCCGTTTAGCTCATCTGAGAAATGTGTTCATTTGAACTCTCAAAACCCTTGTTGTTTGCGCCAGTCCCTGACCCACCTGTGGTTTTTTGAGAGGCAGCCTTTTTCTGTGGCCCTGTGTGTGTGCGTGTATAGTTTGTCCCTATGAAAGCCTACACACCTCTTCGTAGGGATACTTAAAGAATGTCCTCTCCTCCTGCCTTTTGGTGGATTTCTTTGTGTTTAATTAGTTGACAAGTAAATCCCAAACTCACGAGGGAAGGGTGGATTGGGTTTTTTTCTTCAGAATTTGAGTATTGATCATTTATCCACAATAACTATAAATGTTTGATATTTATAATGGAAGGCGAAATCTTTTCCTAACCTGGTGTCCCGCTAAACTTTTGTCTGCTTTAACTCTACTCTGTTGTTTTGAAGATTCAGAATCCCCAAGACATTTTATACCAGCTGATTACTTGGAGTCCACGGAAGAATTTATTCGAAGACGTCACGATGATAAAGAGGTAAATTGGAACATTTAAATCTTTTAGCTCTTGTGCAGAAACAGCGTAAAGGGAGTAATCATTTCTAGACAGGAGTCAGGGAGGTACCAAATGATGGAAGCAAAGATTGGGGTTTTTATGGTGACTTTTTCTCCTTTAATTTACTTTTTTAAAAAATGGGACTGATTTCCCTCAGGTGTTCAGCTCTCAGTGCCCAGCTGGTGCCACTGGGCTGCTGACCAGGCATGAAAAGGTTGTGCACTGCGGCACTTCGTGCCTCCTAAGCTGGGAGCCGAGGTTCGCCCATTCGTTCCTCCTCCGATCCCTCCCAGTGGTGTTGTGCGAGTCAATCTACTCAGATATTTCTCTGTTGCCGCCTGCACTTCTGTTGGCACTAATATAGTTCAAACTGGAAAGGATGCAGCAGAGAAAAATGAAAAACAGTAATGAGCACGACGCATTTTATAAAGCCATTTGAGGAAACGGCCTATAACTCTGTTACTTTTAATTAGGCAGAGAAATGTCCCCTTGTAAGTTCTGGTAAGCCCCAGGCAAGAACCTCCGAACCCGGATGGCCACAGGCAGCTGCTGAAAGGTCTGTGTGACTGGCAGAGTGGGCTGTCCTCTCATTTTCTCAGGACGAGGGTCCCGCCCATTGAGCGAGCGCAGCGCCTATCGTCCTCTAGTGAGAAACTGCATTGAGTAAGAGACGAAGAATCGCCCGGAAGTGATGGCGGGCAGGGTGCGCCTCACAGTCGCAGCTCCGTCTTTGCGCTTGCTCTGTTGGGTCATGCCAGAGTTTGGGTGGGATTTCCCTGCAGATGTAGGTCGGCTTCGAGGAAAATGATCCGATTGTAATCATCACTGCCAGAGCGTGAGAGGAAAGATGAAAAGAAGTCGGGCGCCTTCCAGTCTCCAGGCATGCACAGTTCTCTGTGACAGCACACCTGCCCAGCCAGAGACGCAAAAGGCCGTGCTTGATAGACAGAGCGTTTTCCCTAATAAGGAAATCCAAAGCTCACGCGTAATTGTTCACCAGGACACGGGACAGATTCACGTCTACTGCTGTTCCTTAAATATTTCCTGTACAACATTTCCACCAGTGTACAAGATTCCCATGTATGTCAGCCTAAGCTGCCATGACAAAGAAAGATGAAATTCAGTTTCAGTACTAAGACGCTAGGATCTGCACGGATGGTATCGTGGTAGGAGTTCTACCTACATAGATGGCCCATTCTACTTGACTTAACCATTGATGTATTAGAAATTGCATGCAGGCTGTGAGCCGTGTGTGGCCTGAGTGGTGCTGGATTGTAAATCCTAACAGTTTTTGTGTCCTTACTGAGCGTTTTGGGCTCATGTGGTTAAACCACAGGCCTGAAGGATCAGGGAGGTCAGACTTACGCACTGGGTCAGCGCTCGCGCGGGCGGCACCTCCCTGAGCAGTGGGGTGGGCTCTCGCCCCCTTGATGCTGCTTCTGATGGGGGTACTTAACTTTGGCCCAAGCCTGGGGACTTTGAGCAAGGACAAGTCCACTCTCACGGTACAGGGAAGACTGGCTTCTGAGCTGAGCGGGTGTTGATCTGAACTTTTTATGCAAATGTCTTATTAATGCTGATTAGAACGGCTTTTAAGAAAGTGAGAACATATCAGTCCCAGAAGGGTCATTCCTGGTGATTTAGCCCCCTCCCTTGTTTTACCCAGAGAGGGCCACAGCTTGACCAGAGCCACCTACCTAGCACGTTGGCCTATGCCAGAGGCAGGAGCGGAACTAAGGTTTCCCAGTTTCTGGGCTCTGTGCTTTGCAAAGCACTTGCCTGTCTTTTCTCATTTAATCTTTTGTTTTTGTTGTTAATGCTTTTTTATTTTTTATTTTTTATCTTTGTTTAGTACAGAGTCTAAAGGGTCTCACTACACAAATCAGACTCGTAGTGATCCTCCTGCTTTCAGCCTCCCAATGGCTGGGATTATAGGTGTGTGCCACCACACCCAGTCTCAGTGCACCCTGGGGACTGGGCTGGCACGGCTGTTTAGATTTTTTTTGAGACCATACAGGCTGGCCTTGAACTCCTAATGCTTCTCCTGCCTCAGCCTCCTGAGTGCTTGGACCACACCTGGCTGTCATTTAATCTTTACATTTTGCTGAGTGTCAGAAATCTCAGATCCTGGAGAAAAATTGAGACCACCGACCGTGGGACTAGATAATCCCATGAGGCATTTAATTGCCTACTGGAAAAAGATTGATGTTTTATTGAGAATTCTGAGAATGGGTAGTTCTAATTAATGTTTTTCTATAAGGAACATTAGTTCCAGGGATGTAAGCTTTAGTATAAGGAAACACTAAGAAGTCTATAGGGTGCTTCAGTAGCCATTGAGACATTTGATACGAAACAGCATTATTTGATTATACCAAAAGGTCTTTAAAAATACAACTAGACAACTGTTTTATCAGTTCATTCCAGGCAACATTTTTCTTAGTTTAGATTTATGCCATTCCCTTAAACTTGGCTTCCTTTTGCCTAGTGGAGAGCAGTTCCCTGTGACAGTGAGCTGCTCTGTCAGCTAGGAGTGCAGGCTTCCGTGTACTTCCTGAAGCCTGAGGGTAGGAATGCTGGCTGCTCAAGGGGCAGAGTACCCCCGCTTCTGAGAAAGCAGCTCCGCTCTGAAGACTTAGCAACAGAGAGGGAAGCGCAGAGGGACCTGGGTGTCGGCGAAGGCCCACGCTGACTGCCTAGGCATGATACTGGCCGGAGGGCTCAGCCCTGCGCCGCCCGGGGGACTACCGTGGGGTGTGTGGTGCCTGGGCCTGG